ATGCAATTGAATATAATATTATTAAATATTTACGCATGGAAATATCTCGAAAACGGCTGTGTAGAGAAATAAGAACCAATAGAATAGTATGATAGAATAGAACTGAACTTTATTTTTGATTTACTTTTCTTTTTAAATCATTTTATAATTTATCAATGTTTACTTTGATACTCAAAATATTACTTGTAACATTCGCTCTCTTAAACTTGATAATTTTTAAAATGATTACAATTTTTTTAATCACTTTCATTTTCTTGTTTTACTGCCTTCCACTGTAAACCGCTCGATTGACCGTAAAGTTCTCGTTGTTCAAATATAATCTTGATTTTTTGTTTCGATCTTCGACTGTCCTTTTCATAGTCCTCTTTTCTGCCCCCTTTTCTTCTTCTTTGGTAAGATCGATGACTTCGTCTTTGGTAATGTAGACGGATCGTCATTATAATTATAATTGTGCGACCCGTCTACTCATTATTTCTCCAACGGTGTCGCATGCTCACCGCATCTCACGATGCGCATGCGACACCCGCTAATGACAATTATGAAATGTGAAGAAGAATCAGAATAAAGTTAATGCTGAAACTGAAACAAGCATTATTACTCACTCTCACCTAACAAACCCACTACACTGGCGCTGCGAACAGGATGCAAAGATCGATGATGTTTGATTCGATAACTCTGCCGTTACCACCTCCATTTCTTCCTTCCGAATTTGAGTTAATCCATGATTTGACCCGTTCCATTTTAAACTTGAAGTCTCTTCTTTCCCAATCACATTGATGTTCATTTCCTTTATCTGATCGTTGTTGTTTCCTATCCATTTTTCTTCAATAGTTTCCTTTTGCTTCTTTTAAATGTGTGTTAGCAAACTATTTTTTATTTCACTCCAGTTGAAGAATTGATTATTTGATTCAATTCTTAGGATGAAATCAGCATAACTTTTAGGAAGTGCGTTCAATAGTACTGCTGTTTTATGACTATTAGTCAACTCTCGATCATTACTTTTTATTTGTTCAAAAAGTTTAGTCAAGTTGCTGATGTCTTTTTCAATCCACTCTTCGTTCTTGATTTTGAAATTAGCTAGTTTGATGAACAAATTAATTGATTCCAATCTCTTAGTAGCCATGTATTTTTCTTCGTTTCTTCCTTCTTTTTCATAGTTTGCTTGGATAGATAAAATCATCTCACAATTTTCTTCTTTTTCTTCATCAAATTCATCAATTTTATTTGCTTTGTTACTTTCGTTTTTCTCGTTTTGCTTTTGGTATTTTTCAAACTCTTGAAATTGATTATACCTTTTGAGTTTAAAGCAATCTGCCATACGATGTGAATTCTTTTTGCAGAAGTAACAAAACAATTCTCTGTGGTTGTTTGAGATTTTGAGCACCTTGTCCTCTCTACGATGTTGTCCCTCTTCTTCAATTTGCTTCTGTCTTTGATACTCATCCAATAATTTGGAGTAAATAAGCGACCATTGTAGATCTTCGTCTGGGCGTGCCTCAAGTGCTGTTGCAAGCGTTGAGTATGAAGCTGGTAGGCTTGCAAAAACCATACCAATTTTCCATTCTTCACTCGCCTTGTCTCCCAGATCTGACAATTTTTGGAATAAATCTATCATTTTGTTGAGATGATCCTCCATCTTGTCAGATTCCTCCATTCGAGTTAGTGCTATTTTCTTGTAAATTGAGATTCTATTTGTTGGCGTATGTTTTTGATGAACGCTTTTTAGAGCTTCCCAAGTTTCCAATGCTGTGGTTTTTGTTCTAATGTGAACTAGTTGACTGTCTTCAACAGTGAGACCAATCGTCGATCGAGCTTTATTATCTTTTCTTCTCCATTCTCGAAGCCTCGCAGCTGTTATTGGAGGTTCTTCTGTTATGACCTCCCAAAGCTCTTCGTTGATTAAAAGCAGTTCTAATTTATATTTCCAAGTAAAGTAATTGGAATTGTTGAGTTTTTCGATTTTTGGATTTTTCTCCATCTTTTTGTTTTAGGTTTTTCCCTTTGGATTCGAATAAAGGAGCACTATATCTTTAACTTTCTTAAATTGTTCTTTGGATTTTTCCCTATTCTACACAGAATCGGCACATAACCAATGTAGAGAAATAAGAACCAATAGAATAGTATGATAGAATAGAACTGAACTTTATTTTTGATTTACTTTTCTTTTTATATCATTTTATAATTTATCAATGTTTACTTTGATACTCAAAATATTACTTGCAACAAGCTGGGTAAAGCGGCAAAACGGACCGTGATGTCACTCCCTAAAGGGAGTGTATACTGGTTTGATGGCCTAGAATACAAATCCGGTGAAATTTCGGCTGATCCATGGATTCTCAGGATTTGGCCAGATTCCAGTGCTTCCTTTTTTATGTGCATCTGTAAACACATTCTACCTATGTTTTGTTATGAAAGAAATTGAAGTGCTAAAATCAGGTTGAATCCTGAGAATCCATGGATCAGCCCAAATTCCACCGGATTTGTATTCTAGGCCATCAAACCAGCCGGGTGTTTACACTCCCTTTGGGAGTGACATCACGGTCCGTTTTACCGATTTACCCAGCCGTTTTCGAGATATTTCCATGTGTACATTTGGCCATAGAAGCTAATGCAATACCAGCGGCGCTCCGAGGTTTTCATACAAACTCCCCATGTAGACGGTCGGAAACAGGCAAAAATCGAAAAAAAAGTTTAAATTCTTTTTCGATTCTGGAACAGTATTTCATGTGCCCAATCCAATGATGTTATCGACACATCGAAATTCGCGCTCCTTATCACTTAATTTTCTCTCTAAAGCCAAATCACAACCAAAACCACCATTAAAATGAATCATCATTCCAATGGACTTGAAAGTGTATCGAACATTTTTGCTTCAATTAAAGTGAAACACAATTTCTATAGTCCACAGATATTTTACGATTCACTTACAAGCGAACAGAATTTATGTTGCACTTTTAAAAATCAAGAATATTGTGTTACGGTTATCCATAAGTGGTTCAACTTTAGTCATTTTTATTCCCGACCATCAGAATATGTCTCTCTTCAACATTAATATGCTTTTCGATAAGTTCAATGTTCGACTTTGATGAAAAAACACAGAACGAATAATGATCCGCTTGAACGGCGCCATTAAAAAAAGTTTGCTCTCTGTGTGAATTGATTTGCCGAAATTGTTCATAATTTCTTCTTCACTGAATTTGTCATTCAGTTCGTCGATATTTTTCGGGTTATCAGGGAGAACACCGCGCTTTATGCGTTGAAGCGTACGTTCGTGCTTCGCAAAATCGATATCAATGTCTTGATGCCTGTAAAATGTTTTTTTTTATTGAGATTAGAATTCATTTTGATAAAAATTGACAATTGAAAAAAAAACACTTCACTTACTTTGTCATGACGTTTTTGTAAATATCGCGCACTTTTTTTTTGCCGGCTACAGCATTCAAGTCACTGCACATCTCCTTCATTTCGTTCAGTGCAAGCAAGCGCTTATAGCGGGTTTCACAGTCGTCGGTGTGATTATGCCCCTTGTCTCTATTTAATTTAATACACCGGCCATCATGAGTCAGTGTGATTCGCGATGTACAACTTTTTTTTATGCACCGGAAAATTTGGCCGCGAGCACCTTTTTCAAAATTGATTTTATATAGTTGCCGTTCTTCCAACACATAGAGAAAATTCCAATTTTTTCTTTCTCCTTTAACTTTTCTAAATTGTAGCACAGTGTGATCCATATTGGCCGATGAAAGAAAAAAAACTAATTCTCTCAGGTTTTTTTTCCGAAATCCAAACCGAGTCAATATTGGTTTGTGTGTGTGTGCCAACGACGCTCGGCTTTATATCGGTTGACTTAAATCCTTAAATCACACAAAAACATTCAAACAGCTGATCGAGAACGATTCGGTAAGAGAGAGAGATGCTGTCTTCTGTGTGCCTGTGTAATGTACATACACATAAGTACACACGAGACAACAATCGTTTCTTTCTTTTTCTTTATGTGCGGTTGTTTGGTGCAGTGACACAAATGAGCATGTAAGAGAGAGAGAGAGAGAGAGAGAGATGCTGTCTTCGGTGTGCCTGTGTAATGTGCATAAACACAAGTATACACGAGACAACAATCGTTCCTTTGTTTGGTGCGGTGACACGAATGAGCATGTAAATGCGACGTTCTATCTAAAGGAGTATTTTCCTAGGACAACGATTAAAATCGTTGAACGATTTATGATTTTTTAGCACGATTGCAATCGTTTTTCAATTTTCCTAAAATCGTACACATAAAAGTGCGTGCCATCTAGTAGCGAGTATAATTCACCAGTATGGTGAGCTATGCAGCAATACACAAGTTTTATCGGCTGTCACTCAGCCGATTAAAGTGACATAAGTGTGGTTATGTTTTCTGTTGCCGCTTCACTCGCAAGTCATCATAGGAGAGAAAAAAGCAAAGGTAAAAATATTTTCCATTGTTCCAAATTCTGTTTGTTGTATTGTGCATTTTCAAAATGAAGCGTCGATCGGATACATTTTTGAATTTATTTTTGATTTTTGATTTTGACGACGAGTTTCACCAAGAGATCATTCAAATTCTACCTAAAGTGAAGAGAAAAAAAACACATGAAATGATCAAGAATCGCGATGAGGAAGGAACCTTTTCAATTTTAATAAAAAAATATCTCTTAAGTGAAGATGATAAATTTATTGAGTATTTTCGCGTGAGTCCATATATTTTTAATAAAATACACGAAGACATTTGTGACCAAATACAATCAGTACCGTATAATCGTGTTCAGCATCCTATTTCTAGTGAACAAAAACTTTGTCTAGCCTTGAGGTATACTTTGTGTAAACTCAATTTTAATTGTCAACGATTTATTTGCACTTATTTTCCTTTCTTAAGATTTCTGGCCACTGGAGAATCTCATTCATCACTCGCGTTCTCATTTCGCATATCCCGGTCATGCATTAGCATGATAATTCGGAACGTGTTCGAAGCCATAAAAACAAAAATGATTTATTTACTCCAACCTCCAACTGAAGAAGATTACATAGCCATCAATGACGAATTTTACAAAAAGTGGAATTTTCCAAACGTTGTTGGTTGTATTGATGGCAAACACATTCGCATTAGATGTCCAAACCGATCTGGTTCCATTTATTACAATTATAAAGATTTTTTTTCAATAGTCCTAATGGCAGTTGTTGATGCCAACAGCAAATTCATTGCCATTGATGTAGGCAGTTTTGGAAGAGAGGGCGACTCCGGTATATTTTCTAGGTGTAATTTGGGAAAATCCATAAAAGAATCTTTTCTTCCAATCCCACCTCCGAAAAAATTGCCAGATACCGATGTTGTACTCCCTCATGTAATCTTGGGAGACGAAGCATTTCCACTTCTACCGAATCTCATGAAACCGTACCCACGGAGTCAAAGCCTAATTGATAGATCGAAGGCAATTTTTAATTACCGTCTATCACGTTCACGAAGAATAGTGGAAAATGCTTTTGGTATCCTGACTAGTCGATTCAGGATATTTTCCACTCCAATACATCTGAATGTGACCACCGTTGAAAATGTAGTAGTATCTGCGTGCATTCTCCATAACATTCTATCAGATGACAACAGACATACACAATCACAGTTGGATGCTGATCCTTCAGATTTGATATCCATCGAAGATTATGGAGAAATTGAAGGTGATTTTGGTGAACCGAAAGAAATCAGAGATAAATTCAAAGACTATTTCAATGGCACTGGTGCCGTTTCATGGCAAAACGAAACAATTCGCCTATGAAAACAAATGTAAGCTCAACACAAAATATTAGTTCAATTGAATTGAGTTGAGCACAAAATATCAAAATGCACAAACCATTTTATCTCTATTATCAAATATTAATTTATTTTGTTTTGTTCACAGAAAATGGAAACAGAAACGAACAGTAAATCATTGGACGTAAGCTTGATTTGATTTGATTTAGTTTAATTCGACTGATTTGAATGTTGGTTGTATTTTTATCTTTACAGAATGCAGATGCAATACAAAAACATACAAATGGGACAACACGTAAAACATACACCAAGCTTGATTTCTCCTTGGAAGAAGAGGAACAATTAATCGATTTCGTAAAATCCAACCCTCCATTGTACAATCCTCGAGACGAACGTTTTAAAAATAAAATGTTCCGAGATCGCCTGTGGGCAAAATTTGGGGAAACTATAAAAAAAACAGGTAATTTCTTCATTTTATCTAAATTTGAAATTGACATTGATTCATTTCATTTTTTTGTGTTTTTCCTATCGTTACAGGTCCAGAGTGCAATAAAAAATGGGTGAATATTCGTGACACATATAACAAGAACAAAGGGAAAAAACTAGGCACTGGAAGTGCAGCCCTTGCGAAGAAGAAACGCAACGATCTCTTGGCTTTTATCGACGAAATTGTAACCGTTAATAAAAAGTGAGTTTGAATTAAGTTTAACAAATAATGGTTTCTGACTAGTGAGAAGACTGAAAATACACAGAAAAAAACATGAAAATGATTAAAATATCCCATGTTTAACGGTCCAAAATAGCTTCTTTCCATCTAAAATCTAATTTGATATACATTTTTCAGAACCACAACAAATATCGCCGGCAAAGAAGACGAGAAAGAAAACGTCATTGACGACGACATTGGGTCTGATGAAGAATATTTTCCTCGAGTGAAAAGAAGACGAAGTTCTTCAAATAGCGATCATCTAAAGTTTATGGAAAACATTGCACAGACAATGAAGGAAAACAACACGAAAAGAAATGAAATACTCCAACATATGTTGACCGAACAAAAACCCCAATCAGAACTGGAATTGTTTTTTAGTTCGATTTGTAAAACCGTTGAAAAATTTTCCCCCATCGACCAAGTTCGGGTAAAGATGCAAATAAATCAAATGGTTAGCGAAACCGAACTCGCAATCCTTGAATGTACATGTACAACCAAATAACGAAAATTGACTGCAAAAAATTAATGATTGACCACAAATTGTGCCTAGAATCTGTTTGTATTTGAAGAACTGAATAAATTAAAATTGAAAAATTTATTCGTGGAACAAAATAAAATTTAATTGAGTTTGGAAATGTTTTTGTTTGGAAATTGAGTTTTTCTCCTTTGCATTGGAGACATAGAAGTAGTAATCAATTCAATGTTCGGCCAGAATGAACTTAAGATTTACTATATTCAACTCGTCACGAGGTGAAAACTTTTTCCTATGGGTTTCAATCAGAGTAGAAAAAAAAACAAAAAATGAAAACTGAAAAAAATGATCATTATCGAAATGGCGACAACATTTGGAATATCTTTATTTTGTTTGAAATTGAGAAGACTTTTATTCACAGCAGATTATTTTATGAAATTTTTAATCACAACTTCGCTTAACCAGTAATTTATCACTATGATTTTTTAGAAAGCTTTTCCATATTTTGATTACAGAAAGCGCAATTAATTGTTATCTTAAGTTCAAGTTGAAAACATTCTTGGTTTACATTTTGTTTTGTGCCATTTTCTAATAATCAAAACTCATATCAAAGTTGTTCAACGCTTCGATTTTGTCCTGAAGTTGGATTCGCTCGATTGATTCTTCGTATGTTAATTTGAATTTTCCCATGAAAATCAGAAGACACCATTCAGGAATCAACGCTTTCCAAATGAGGTTTTCGTGCTGGAAGAGAGAGAGATAGAGAAATATGAATACTTACTAGGATAGTAGAGTTTTAAATTAAAAATAAACAAACTATAGCAAAATCGAATTTACAATTGAAGTAATAGCCTTGGTTTCTCCTGTGAATTCTTGTCGCAATTTCTTGTACATGAAACACTGCTGATTGGGTGTCACGAGCTCATGTAAAATTAGCAAATAATTGAGATTTGTGTGTGATTCGATTTGTCGATCCGGGATTTTGGCGTATTTCGAGAAAATGTTAGACAGAATGTTCTCGCACTCTTGGAATGTGTCAATGATGTCGTCATTGTACATACTTTTCAAGTTGCTGAAAGGAAAAGAAAAAACATTAGGAAATGACAAATTATGAATATTTAAACCAAGCATACAGCACATCAACAGCTGCGAGATCTTCGTCCATTTGCTCCCATTCTTGCCTTAAGATACTTAATTTTACAGCTTCTGCATCTTGTTCCTTATCACAGTAGCCACGCAGTAATATTTCGTCGATTTCAGCGCTTGATTTTGGATTGGTCGCAAATTCAACATCTTTGACTCTTTTGTCCGAAGCTGTATGGGAGGCACTAGCCTTCTCACTTCTATCATCGACTACAGAAAGCAAATAAAATTTTAGTATTTTGTACAATGATCATAACACACATCGTTCAACAAATTTTATTACAATACCTTTGGGATCGCTTATGATTGGCACCACATTTGCGTTATTGCTTGTGAATTCCGATGATTTTCTGTTTTGAAGTTCCGTTATTGCTTGAAGAATTGCAATTTGCAAGAGTGGGCGTTTGACCGGTAATTCTGCTTCACGTAATTCGAACGGAATTATGTTGACCTTCGATAAAATTGACGTAGTTTCATCACCGAAAAACAGCACATTCATTCTTCTTCCGACAATAATACTGACGATCTTTGCGGGCCACATGGGGTATCCTTTCAACTTCGCCCACACTATATCATTTTCGTGATATTCATGATTTAGATTCTTATTGATTCGTTTGTAATTTGGTTTACTTTTACGATTTTTTGTGGCTGACATTTTCTGGCGAGGAATTTGTTCGAGGAAAACTTCGTGAGAACTTCTGATTCAATATAAACTAACACTTCACACTCTCTCAAGCAAAGAGCTTCATTTGAGGTTATGATTGCTGATGTGCAAATCATCGGCTGTATGACAGCCGACGAATCTGAGGTGAACTTTGTTGTGATGAATTCACCACAACATTTTTAACTCATAGTGAATGGTCATTTGTTATTGATTGTACTAAATTATTTTATATTTTTCAAATCAAAAAATAAATTATTAATTTTCTGTCATAGAACGATGTTTTTTCACACAACATGAAATATGAACATTCATTTATTTTATTATTATTATTTCATTATTTGTATGTAAATTGATGCGATGTCAAGAAATTGACATTGTTCTGAGGATCGAATTTTCTTCAGGTATTTCCAGAACAATTTCAACCTCTCGGATTGCTTTGATGAATTCGTGATTTTGTCTTGGAAGAAGTCTCCGAATTTCTTGATGAGATTCAACGAAAAGGTTTACATTGCATGTATCGACCGTCCCTTTCTGAGCCGTTCAAAAAAAAAAAACTTCTGTGCGTTTTCCTTTGACATTAATTACTTGTGCTGGCCAAGCGCAGTAAGTTCGCATTTTCGCCATCACAAGATCGTTAACACAAATGGGGCGAGATTGAAGTTGTGAGAATCGTGAGTGAATTACTGTCTGTCGTTGGTTGACTTTTGCTACTCTTCCGCGTTTGACCTAAAATATGAATAATGAATATAATTTAAACATTTCGTTTAAAATTGAACCCAATTGAATTGATAATTTCTTCGCTACTTACTGCGTGATGATTTTGTTTTTGTTGACTGGTTTCATGATGCTTTTCTGATGCTTCAGACGATGGACATGAATCGAGCTTTAATGCTATTTTTCGTGTTACTCTTCCCGCGATTTCCTGAAAAAACGTTTGACATTTTAATGAATTTAAATTTGCACTGAATGAAAAGCAAGACAAAATCGAAAAAGCACACACTCGCACTGAATTTGTTGCAATTTGAATGGAAAAACCAGCCGTGAATATTTACGAAGAGGGAAAAAACACTCGCAAAAATAAGATAATTAAGGCAGTAAAGGAGACAGAGAAAAAACTTGAAGTTTTGTTTGTTGTTACCATTGCTTCGATATTTAAGAAGAGAATATACTCACTCTATGGTTTTGATGGTGATCGGTTTGATTTTCGCATTCTCTCAGTGTGGAATTAGATTCTTCTGATGCTTTACCATTCTTTGATCGCATTGGCTGTGAGTTTGGCCTCCCTTGAACAACCTGGAATTAATTTAATTTATTTACTACACTATTAAGTTGAACAAATTTATTTTGAGTTACCTTTGATAGCCCATTGGTCATGCAAAATTGATCTGTATTTATCGAAACATTGATGTGGACTCCGTCGACTGAAGAATATGGCAACAAACTTTTTTCGTGCGATGATCCATTTAAAAAAATTTCACTTAAGATAATGCGATTTCCTTTGGAAATTATTTTCAGATTGATAGTGGGTTTTGGTCTTTTTCTTTCGGGCTTTTTTGTTACTTTCATTTTGTTCAGAAGGAATAAATTCTTTTTACGTCCAATCGTTCTGCGTCTATGTTAGGTTATGTGCGTTTTATCGGCCGATGACAAGCCGATGAATTTCACTTGCACTTTCACCTCGTGGTGAATTCAAAGTTAACCGTAGCCCTAACAATCTATGCAATTTTTCATAAGGCGCCTTCACTCGCATTAAATTTGTATTATGAATGTTGAAATGTGTACAGCGCCCTTCAATGTAAAACCAATACAAGTGGAGGATGGCACACGTTGTTACTTGTGCTGAACGATTAAGTTTATATCTCGAAGATAATTGTTTTTTGTTTGATATTATTTAAGTTAATTCAAAATAAAGCATTAAATTATATATATTAGTCGCAAAATAATATCGCTCTAGAACTAAACCCTACACATAACAAATACACACACCATATATGAAGTTCCATATGATAGCAGTGGAACGCGTACAAACGCATGAAAACGCATGCGCATATGTCAATTCTCTGCGCAGTGTTTTTGATTTCAAATCATTTGTTCAAACTGAATTTGTTTATAGTCGACATTCTGGGAATGTGAACCTTTTATCATGTATTGTTTTTTATATGATACTATCGACGTCTGCTAAACACAGCTTCCTGTTCTGAAAAATATATAATAATGTGTAGCTGAACAGTGAACACTTTTAAAAACGTCATTACATTTTATGTCGCTGGTTTTTTATTCTTCATTCGTTTTCCCTTGGGATTTGTCAATCATTGAAAACTCCATCATTTCAACGACAGTTTGATGTCAGTGGGGAACATATTTCGAGACAAGAAAATAAAATATGAGGAAATAATTACCGGAAAAAATGAATAAAATAGCAAATATTGAAAACATTAGAAAGAAAGCAGCAAGCAGCATAAATATCGGATAAATAATTGCATTATTACAACAGACGTCAACCGGGTTTTTACCAAGGTTATTGGAAATATGCTGCGTTTTCTCTCTCTATCGCTCCTAACTCGATCATGATTTCATTTGAGTTCAGTTTTCAAGTAAACGTTGAAATAATGCAGCCAGCGCCAGGTGATAATGAATAATTAAATAATTATTTATTTGAACTATTGTTTATATCAACTTTTTTTCATCTTCGTCTCTTTGTTTCATAATGACATCAAATTCATAAATTATAAAGTACTATTAAATTAAGACCTTTGTTGAACTCTTTGGAAATTTCTTGTTCATAATAAATTATTGGAAGGTACATATATTCAGTCTAATCATATAAAGCATATAGGAAGTCTATTAGTTTCTGTTTCAGTCAGATTGTCAAAATGAGATGGTATGTTTACACACAACGTCGCTTTGTTTCTTTGAGCATGTCGCATAAGACCCTGTGTTGTTCTGGTGTGTACAGTGCGTGGTTTTTCGTGGCCGTGTATTTGCCTGAAGCGTAGTGGTTGAGATGAGTGCGCAGCCCACGGTATGTCTTCATTTCGCCACAGATCGGGCAACGGAAATCTTTGTTCGGTGATTTTTCACAAAATTCGGTTTCATGGTCAACGAAGGTGCTCTTCTTATTCGTAATAAAGTCACAGTTGAAGCATTGATACATCGGAACTGGCCGAAAATATTGATGCGGAATCGCATATGTGTGGAAAACACGAACATGATCGAACGACATTTGTTGGCTTGTGGTAATGGCGGAAATTTTGGCTTCATTGATTGCTTCCTTCAATTGACCTATAGTTGATTCGCGTCGACCCAATCGTGCCTTCAACTTGGGAATTTGGCTTCTCTCGATCACCATCTCTTTCTTTAATCGTTTGATTTCACTGCGTTGCTCATCGTTTTGTTGCTTCTGCCGTTGGAACCGATTCTTGCGCTTTTCTTCCAGAGCATCAAATTTACCACGTATTAGTGCATTTCGGGTTTTGACCTCTTCCACGATGTTTGTGTACTTTGTCTTTTCCTTTGCGACCTCTTTTTCCAGTTCTTCAATACGGCCTTGTTTTTGACTGCAGATGGTGTGAGATTGATGCAACAGGTTCAGCCTTTGTTTTGATTCCTGTTGGAGTTGGTCGTATGTCTCCATCCATGTCAATTGCCAAGCCAGTCCATTTGTGTCGTCCATTTTTACCAAAACTTTTTCAAGTAGAATTCTTTTTTGATATTTCCAAAGAACAGTATTACTTTTAAGTTCGAACACACTTTTGTTGCAAATGAACGTGAGCTGCACTCGGCGCGAAACGAACATGAAATGTCAAATGAATTTGAAACTCACAATAGTTTGACATTTGAATTTTCATCGAGAATCAATCTACATTGTGACACACTCTGACATCTTTTGTAGAAAATTGTTGCTAGGAACTATCAGATGGGATCTTTTTGAATAATATTAAATCGTGGACGATAGTGTATTCGTCGACGATTGTCACTTCAATTTTCCTAGGATAACGATTAAAGGAAAATCGTACACGATTGCAATCGTTGTCCTAGGAAAATACTCCTTAAGACTGACGGACGGAAACAAAATCGTCAACCAATCTAAATAAAATGCGACACTTGGTATTAGATTGACTGTCGGTAAAAAAACGACGGTAAATCTAGGGAAAAATTGCTACAAAATATTAGATTGAACGTCGGATTTATATAAAAAAAGGCGACAGCAAATCTAATATTGATTGTCGTTATACTCATTGACAGTTACCCAATGTGATCATTTTTGGTATAAAATTATATTGTTTGAAAAAAAAAATTAGAGTTCATTGAACTGTTCTCTTTGTTGCATCATCATTTTTTATTGAATTTTTTAATGCAACTATCGCAGGCAACTATATCGGTTGATGTAACAAAGAGAGCAGTGCAAAAAATGCATGAATTTTTTTTATATGTAAGTCGTTGAGTTAGCGATGATCGTCTGCGTTGAATTCTTCCTGGCTGAATGGCACTTCGGTCTTGGCACACACCACCCGAAACATTAGCACCGCTCAAAACGATATTGGCTGGAGCACCAGAGACTAGTGAATGAAAAAGTCCAAAAGAACACATAAAATTAGTTTTGTTTAAATCAGTTTTAGCGATAGAATAATTACCAGTTGAATCAGAGGTAGAATTTTGATGAATGTCACCGACAAAAAAAACAACAATCAACTGGCGTCGATTCACCTCAGTGCGACAAACTGGACACTCTTTTTTACTGGAAAAAGGAAATTAAAATTATATTCACGTTATGAAAAAAAAGTCAAGTAAATTACAAATGAATTGCACGTCGAATGCAACCACTATGAAATACATGGCCACATGATGGGCTATTCAATTATTGGCCATCGAAAAGTTTTTGGGGGCAAATTGGACCCTCGGCTTTGTTGATGTTCATGTTGACTATAAACTGACTTTTTAGTTGAAATGTCAAGTGTATATAGCACTTTCCGCCATAAATCAC